TTTCTCTGTGGCTTTGGAGGCTGTCCTGGAACTCACTTTGTAGACCAGGCTGGCCTCGAACTCACAGAGATCCGCCTGCCTCTGCCTCTAGAGTGCTGGGATTAAAGGTGTGCAATATAACTGCCCCTGGCAAAGATAAACTTTGTAAAATCACAATCCATATCATGACTGATAAATGAACATTAATTAATTCAGTGGCAGGCAATAAACAGCTTTGAAATAAAAAATCATTCTGAAAAGAGAAATGTAAAAAATTTAATTCTCATTAGTAGGCTTTACATTTTTTATCACATTTGTGGGGGGGGTCAGGGATGAGGTGTGCACATATACCATGTCACATGAGTAGGGTCAGAGGACAACTTACAGAGTCAGTTCTCTCCTTCCACTATGTGGGTCTTAGGGTTCCAACTCAGGCTGTCAGGACTGGCAGTCTGAGACTTATCCAGTGAGCCATCTCACAGGCTAGCAGATTTGCTTTTACAAAAAGCTGTACTGGGGCTGGAGACACGGCTCAGCAGTTAAGAGGAGTGACTGCTCCTGCAAAGGACCAGGCTTGGATCCCAGCACCCACATGGCAGCTCATAACGGTCTGTAACTCCAGTCCCAGGGGATCTGACTTCTTCTTGTGGCCTCTGTGGTCACCACATGCCCATGGTGCACAGACATATACATATCCATATACATAAAATAACAATAAAGGTTAAAATGTTTTTTAAAAGCTGTACTCACTATATTAGAAACTGTGTCAGTAAGAATGTTCTGCAGAGCCGGGCGTTGGTGGCGCATGCCTTTAATCCCAGCCCTCTAGAGGCAGAGGCAGGCGGATCTCTGTGAGTTCCAGGCCAGCCTGGTCTACAAAGTGAGTTCCAGGGCAGCCTCCAAAGCCACAGAGAAACCCTGTCTCGAAAAAACAAAACAAAACAAAAAAAGAATGTTGTGCAGCCAGGTGGTGGTGGTACACACCTTTAGTTCCAGGGCAGAGGCAGGCGGATCTCTGTGAATTAGAGGCCAGCCTCTACAGAGTGTGTTCCCAGACAGCTACAGCAACACAGAGAAACCCTATCTGGAAAAAAAAAAAAAAACAAAGAATGTGTGTAAACTTGTCTTTTCTCTCACCATATATGTACCAATATGATATCTTCAGCTGCTCTCATTCAACAAGGCTGAAAGTATTTGCTATTTGGCCTTTTACAGAAAATATTAGCTGTTCCCTATTCTAGAGGAAGTAAAATGAAAGTAAGAATTTAGCCAGTGAAAGGGGAAAAGTCTTTCTAAACAAAAAGGACAGGCTGGGTACATGAGGATGAGCTAACAGTTTATTAAAAGGAATAGACAAGCATTGCATACCAGGCTCTGCAAAACACATCATTCCTTTTCCCAGGTTTGCCTTTCTGAGCCAAACTGTAATACCAGATTCTTCCAGATGAGGACTCCCTTTACTTAGTTTGTTGAAATATTGGAAAATTTGAAAGAACTTTACAGTAAGCATTTATATACTTACCACTTTGATTTCATCACCAACATTTTTATACTTTTTAAAATCACATATCTACTTATCTACCAATAAATCATGTTTTCAGTGTGTCAATACACCTCTCATAAAATAGATCAGCATCTACCCAGGACCCCCTAGGAAAAGAAAAGCAAGGCCAGGCCGTTGCCTAATGAAAGAAACCCAGACCAGGTGTCTCACCCTCAAAACAGGATGTCTGTGATCACTATAGCAGTCATGGGACCCGGATAATAATTGCTGAAGCGTGCCGGGGTCTTTCATAAAGTAATACCAGGAAACTTAGTCCGTGGGAACTACCCTTGCCCCCAAGATGAGCCAATGAAATGCCTGTTACTTATGTAACCATTAAAACTCTATAAATATTGTACTCCCTGAAAGCCCGGGATGCTCTGCACCCGAGTTGCAATGTGTACTCAATGAATCACCTCTTGCATTTGCAGCCAGTGGTCTGGCCCCAGTTCTTGGACAGAGAGTTCGGTTCAGTGCCCGGCGCTTTGATGCCGAGGTCTTTCAAGCATGCATCGCATTTACTAGTAATCCAAATTCTCTAGTTTTCTTTTTTCTAAATGTTAATTATTTTTATTTTTGCAGGGCCTTAGGCATGCTAGGCAACTCCAATACCATTAGAATGTGTTCCCAGTCCTTTTGTTATTTAGAAGATAAAACTTGGGCAATAGAGCTGGGAGAAGGGATCCCAGGAGGCCAACCATCAAAGCTCTGATCTTTTTAATGCCAACTTTCATGCTAAAACAACCTAAATGGTGCACGCCTTTAATCCCAGTACTCAGGAGGAAGAGGCAGGCAATCTCTTTGAGTTCGAGGTCAGCCTGGTCTACAGAGCAAGTTCCAGGATAGCCTCCAAAACAATACAGAGAAACCCTGTCTCAAAAAACCAAAAAAAAAAAGGGGGGGCTGGAGAGATGGCTCAGAGATTAAAAGCAGTGGCTGCTCTTCCAGAGGTCCTGAGTTCAATTCCCAGCAACCACATAGTGGCTGACAACCATCCATAATGAGATCCTCTTCTGGCCTGCAGGGATACATGCAGACAGAACACTGTATACATAATAAATAAATCTTTTTTTTTTTTTTTGGTTTTCGAGACAGGGTTTCTCTGTATTGTTTTGGAGGCTATCCTGGAACTCACTCTGTAGACCAGGCTGGCCTCGAACTCACAGAGATCCGCCTGCCTCTGCCTCTAGAGTGCTGGGATTAAAGGCGTGCGCCACCAACGCCCGGCTTACATTATAAATAAATCTTAAAAACAAACAAACATTTCTTTAAGAATTAGATAGAAGGCCGAGCGTAGGTCGAACACGCCTTTAATCCCAGCACTCAGGAGGCAGAGGGAGGCGGGTCTCTGTGAGTTCCAGACCAGCCTGGTCTACAAGAGCTAGTTCCAGGAGAGCATCCAAAACCCCAGAGAAACCCTGTCTCGAAACCTACTCACCCCCAAAAAATAATTAGATATAAGACAACCAAGAAAATCACAGCTGCATCTTATTGCTATGTCCCATGGTCAAGAGATTGTCCCTGCCACAAAAGATACACATGTACACCGGGGAGGGATGTGAGTGTTCAGTCACTGCTGCCATCCCCACTCCCGAGGGCATTTCTAGACAGGGGGGAAGACAAAAACCATAAAAGGGAGGTCTGGTCCTCCATGATTTGGGAGGGGAAAAGTGTTACTGTATCTCATGAATATGCCAGCCACCTCATAGATATCCAGAAACTGTCTTTACACCTTCCAAGGCAGAGCTGACTGGGCTGAAAACTCCCCATGCCCCTTTCATGTCCTCAACACCAATCTGTCTTTGGAGTGTTTGCTTTGCAAGGTTAAATAAACTTCTGTTTAAACTAGATCTCCTGACCGAATTCTGAGTTCCAGACAAGAACCAACAGACCCCTTATAACCCTTAGAAGTAAAGTTTATATATACAATGAAATGAACAAATTTTAATGAACATTTCCCAACTTTAGACAAACTCCATTTAATCCAGAACCCACCCAAATATACATGCAAAGTACATAAATACATAAAACATACAAAGCACCCTCCTTACCAACACTCCCAACTAGCAATAACCACTGTGCTTATACTCCACAATAGGCCAAGTTTTTTTTTTAACATAGGAAGGAAGTTTTATTGGGTAAGGAAGTAGGGCAGGAAAGGGAGAGGAGGAAGAGAAAAGAAAAGGGAGAGAGACAGAGAGGAAGGGAGGGAAGGGGAGAGACAGAAAGGGGGAGAGAAGGGGAGAGAGACAGAGAGGAAGGAGGGAGGAGAGAGGGAGGGAGGGAGGGAGGGAGGGAGAGGAGAGAGAGGGAGAGAGAAGAGGAGAGAGACAGAGAGGAAGGGAGGGAGGAGAGAGAGAGGGAGGGAGGGAGGGAGGGAGGGAGGGAGGAAGGGAGGGAGGGAGGGAGACAGACAGAGATCCTTCTGCCTCCTCAGAGAGATGGCAGAAAAGACAATAAGGCAATTTTGAGGGGCGTAGAATGAGATATTACCCACTCCTGGCCAACCAGTTCTTCACACATGCCTCTATCTGTAAACCTCTCACGTTGTTTTAAGGCAAATCATAGCCTTCATGTTTGTTTTATTTTGTGTTTTTGCTTGTTTGTGGTTTTTCGAGACAGGGTTTCTCTAAGTAACAGTCCTGGCTGTTCTGGAACTCGCTCTGTAGTCCAGGCTGGTCTCGAACTCACAGAGATCTGCCTGCCTCTGCCTCCCGAGTGCTGGGATTAAAGTGTGCACCACCACTGCCTATTTTTGCTTTTATTTTTTGATACAGGCTCTCACTATGTAGCCTGGCACTCTCTTGCTAAGCCGACCAGCCTGCGGGGGATTAAAAACCTTGTGTTGTGGGGCGTTGGTGGCTGCGCACTCCTTTAATCCCAGCACTCGGGAGGCAGAGGCAGGTGGATCTCTGTGAGTTCGAGGCCAGCCTGGTCTACAGAGCAAGTTCCAGGACAGGGTCCAAAACAATACAGAGAAACCCTGCCTCGAAAAAACAAAATAACAAAAAACAAACAAACAAAAAAACCCCACAAAAAACTTTGTGTCACCTTGCCTGACTCAAAGCACATTACATGTAAAAAAATTACATTTTTTTCTGAAATTGGAGATTTAACTCAGGGTTTCGCGTACCACTCTCGCAAACTCTGGGCCATACTGTCAGCTACTTCGATTTAATTTTGTTTCAAAGGCAAAGGCATATGTGACCCTCAGGATTTACCTGAGAGATACTCGTCTGCGGTCTCCGTAAAAGAGAAAAGACACGTGGAACACCCTTGTCTTTTCTCCATGTTCCCTGCAAAAGTCTGGCTCTAGATTCTACGACACTTGCCTGCGGGAAATGGAATGACACAGAACCAAAGTCAAGCCTGTCTTTTTCACGTCCACCTCCTGGGGTCTACAGAACCTTTGGAGGACACCTGCCCGCAATTTGAGGATAAAGCTGTTGCTAGGAAACCGAGACCGGACTCCCGGAAGTGACATCATCACAAGGCGCCGGGGCCAGGGAAGGGAATTGAGGGAGGAGATTCTTGCCTCGGCCCTATAAGGCGTTTTCCCATGATTCCTTCTTTCTCTTCGCCATCTTCCTCGGGCCGGGCGACATCTCACCATGAAGTAAGCTGGCTTCCCGTATCCCATCCGCCTCCATCCTGCGGCAGAGCGCCTGGGGATGGCTTTTCTTTGCAGCGCACACCCTAACGGGCTTTGGGCTTTCCTTCCAGGGTCGAGCTGTGCAGTTTCAGCGGGTACAAGATCTACCCGGGACACGGGCGGCGCTACGCCAGGACCGACGGGAAGGTAAAAGGCCGGCCGGGCTGAGGGCGAGGAGGCCGGTGTGCTGGCGTGTGAGGACCCCCGGAGCCGCGTGTGGGGAGGGGAACCTGAGTGAATGCAGAGGCTGGGAACCAGGCCGGAAATGAGTGCTGTGTGTAACTGAGCCCCGGGAAAGATAAACGACCAGGACTTGGACGTGTCTGGCTAAAAGTTTTTTTTCAAAATGTTAACGCCATCCGTCCCGTGTCGACGAGTGTGGAACTCAAGATCGCCTGTTCTTGAGAAAAGATGAAATGTGGAGAGCTTGATGCTGCCCAGTACCTGTGGTTTGTGACACAGAGAGCTGAGACAAAAAAACCAAGAAAGTTGTATAAAGATTTTTCGATCTCGGCCTCTTATACTTTGTGTAAAAGGAGTTACTAATTTGCGGATTTGTCAATCCCAGGTTTTCCAGTTTCTTAATGCAAAATGCGAGTCTGCATTCCTTTCCAAAAGGAATCCTCGGCAGATAAACTGGACTGTCCTCTACAGAAGAAAACACAAAAAAGGACAGTCGGTAAGTGGAATACAGCTTGCTAGCTTCTCAACTGAACTCAGAGCTAGCGTCACCTGGTATACCAGACTCGGGGCTGTGTTGAAGTTGGAGAGCTTCCCCTGCGGTTTGATTTCAGTTATAGAGGCCCTTGGGGTGGTTGGTTTTGCAGTGGGAAGAGGTGCTGGTAGAACTACAGCTTAGGGAGTCATCTTTGGGTCGTATTAAAAAGTGTCTAGCTATGTGTTGCAGTAAATAAATAGAACCAGATGTGAAATGTCACGGATATGGTGGACCACTCGTGGAATTCCAGTGTTCTGGAGGTGGAAGCAAGGGGATCAGTAGTTTAAGATAAACAAAAGCAGAACACATGAAATTAGTGGAAGGATTAATTTCTAATTCATTTAATGGATCTGTCCCATCGGGGATCCAATAGGTCTTGGTGAGTATGTAGTGATACAGCTTAACTAGAAATAGGTGGCTGGCAAATCTTTCACTTAAAATGTTAATTCTGTTGGTTTTTGAGACAGGGTTTTTCTGTAGCCCTAATGTTTTTTGTTTGTTTCGAGACAGGGTTTCTCTGTGGCTTTGGGGGCTGCCCTGGAACTCACTTTGTAGACCAGGCTGGCCTCGAACGCACAGAGATCCGCCTGCCTCTGCCTCCGCCTCCCAAGTGCTGGGATTAAAGGCGTGCGCCACCAACGCCCGGCAGCCCTAGTGTTTTTTGTTTTGTTTCCCTGGCTGTCTTGGAATCTGCCTCCCGAATACTGGCATCAAAGGCATTTGCCACCACTGCCACCTTGCTTTGGGATTTTTAAAAAGTTGGACATTTCAGTGATGATGAAAATAGTTCTGTTTCCCTTCTAGCCTGAAAGTGTTTTGTTTTTTAAAGCCGTGTTGGCAGACTTGTATTTTGTCAGCAATCTCACATGAATTCAGCAGTAAAATTTCCCATTTGTGGTGGTTGCTTGACACTCTCTCCATGGGGGGACCACAAGTTTATGATTTGGGATAGCCAGCCATGTTTGCAGTGGAATACTTAGCCTTTCAAGGGTGAAAGGCAGCCAGCATTGAAGAAATGCTAAGGTAGTCTGGGGAAATAGGATAGACCAGTGGTTCTCAACCTTCCAAATAAATGCTGTGACCCTTTAATAAAGACAGGTCCTCTGGTGACCAACAACCACAAAAAGTTTCATTTTTGTTTTTCGAGACCAAGATCTCTGTAGGTGTGGAGACTGTCCTGGAACTCTAAAGACCAGAGTGGCCTTGAACTCACAAAGTGCTGGAAGTAAATGCGTGTGCCACCTCCCCACACACCCCTGTGGGGCTTTTTTTTTTTTTTGCTACTTCTATGAATTGTAAACATCTGTTTTCTCTTGGTCTTAGGTAGGCTAGGTTGAGAACCACTGAGCTGGTTTAGGCAAAAGACTAATTCCATGGTTTTCAATCTTTCGCAAAAAGATTTTGTTTTTAACAGTTTCCCTTTGAAGTTCAGGTGGCCTCATATGCCACTAATACCAGGCTTAATTATAAGAGCTTGTTTCTCTTTTTTTTTCTTCGAGACAGGGTTTCTCTGTATTTTGGAGGCTGTCTGGAACTTGCTCTGCCAGACCAGTCTGGCCTTGAACTCAATGGGATCCGCCTGCTTCTGCCTCCCAAGTGCTGGGATTAAAGGCGTGTGCCACCACCACCCAGCTGAGATCTTGTTTCTCAATAACTACAGTTTAGCCTTTTCCAGTATAGGATCTAGAGCAAACTTTGGGTTCTTGGATACTAAAGCTGGATAGATATTCTCTTTCTAAGTCCTTTCCATAAGTAGATTTCTTAGTCTGCAAACATCTTGCTAAAATTAGTTTTTGTTTTTTTTGAGACAGGATTTCTCTGTATAGCCTTGCCTGTCCTTGAACTCAATGGGATCCACCTGCCTCTGCCTCCCAAGTGCTGGGATTAAAGGCATGTGCCACCACCACCAGGCTGTTAAAATCATTTTTACAATAGCTTTTTTTGTGTGTGATGTTTGCCTGAATGCCTATAAACGCATTATATGCTTGGTGCCTTCAGAAGTCAGTGGCAGGCCCCTGGTACTGGAATTAGAGGTGGTTGTGAGCCACCATGTGGGTTCTGAAAACTGAACCTGGGTCTGCTGCCAGAGCAGCCAGCCTTAACTGATGGTGAGCCATCACTGCCACCTAAAGTCATTTTTAAAGTACCATCCATCTCCTGAAGTGAGCCATTCTTCCTGAAAAAAGGTTTTTTTATGTCTTTCAGTAGCAAAAGGGGTCATGATTTGTAATACAAGGTTGAAACAATTCATTAACCTGGAAAGCAATATTTCATGTAATTGCCATGGATTAACTTGATTGTGAAATTTAACTAAGAGTTCTTTGATCCAAGAGGCATAGTGGTACACACCTAATCCTAACACTGGTTTGTAGCAGTATTACACAGAGAAATCTGTCACAGCACATGTACACGATGGAGGAAAAAAGTTATTTGATTTTAATTTTCACTTCCAAAGTCATTGAGTAAGGCTGATCAGTTATAATCTTTGCTTTGTAGGAAGAAATTCAAAAGAAAAGAACTCGCCGTGCAGTCAAATTCCAGCGTGCTATCACTGGTGCATCCCTTGCTGATATCATGGCCAAGAGGAATCAGAAACCAGAAGTCAGGAAAGCTCAGCGAGAGCAGGCTATCCGGTAAGGAAAGGAATGCTCTACCATGAACATTGCAGCTGCTGTGGTGACTAGATGGCTTTTCTGGTGTGGGAACCTAATCCGCATGAGGCTGTCAGAAGCACAAAGCAGTCATTCACTCTAATTTGTTAAATCTCAGTAGTCACAGTACAGTCCCATACCTTAAGCTGACTTGAATAAGGGATTTATTGGCAAATCGTTGGATCTGGTTTTTTGTAGGGTTCTTTGCTAAATTCTTCTTTGCAAAGCTCCTGTAGCCTTTGATTTGTGATTTTCATGCAACAGCTTCAAGGGTTATATATTATATAACTGGGTTGTAACATTGAGTCTGGCTCTAGATTTTGGGGAAGGAATACGTGATAACTCTAGCTCTTTACCATAAGTTGTATTTTTAAACAGTAAAGTCTTTGGCTTAATGTTGCATATGATACCACAGGGCTGCCAAGGAAGCAAAAAAGGCTAAGCAGGCATCCAAGAAGACAGCAATGGCTGCTGCCAAGGTAACTGGGATCTTAGGTTTCTTACAGTAGGAAATTTTATCTTTAGTAAGAGGGTTAGTAAATGACAGGTGCAATGGAAATGGTTTTGTAGCTAATTTCCAGATGAATGGTTATCTCTCAAAGTTTCCAGTGAGTCTCAATTTTAGATGCCTTAAAAATGGGAAAATAAAGATAGCTTTTGTTTTGGTGGGTTTCTGTTTTTTGAGGTGTGTCACTATAAACAAGGCTGGCTTAGAACCATGAACAAGACTTGTCTAAATTTAAGGACAGTCCTGCTGCTTGTTTATGGGCATGGTCTCTTGTGTACAGCTTGGCTTGAGTTTTTTCTTTTTTTTTTTTTTTGGTTTTTCGAGACAGGGTTTCTCTGTACAACAGTACAATGAATTTACCCAGTGTTTTCTAGTGGTTAGCAAAATTTAAGGCCAGAAAAGTTAACAGTTTTTCATTCTTGAGTGGGCAGATGGTTCTGCCAGTAAAGGCACTTGCTACCAACCCTAATTTAGCCCTGGGCATGAACAAAGGGAAGGGAAAGAAGGAATACTGTGATTACACACGTGTCATGTAAGACGCCGTTCCCTCAAGCCAACTATGACCTACACGTGTGCCCCATTCAAAATTAAGAAATGTATCATTTTTAGAGATTTATTATGTATACAGTGTTCTGCCTGCATGTATCCCTGCGGGCCAGAAGAGGGCACCAGATCTCATTATAGATGGTAGTGAACCACCATCAGGACTTCTGGAAGAGCAGTCAGTGCTCTTAACCTCTGAGCCATCTTTCCAGCCCCAAAATACATCATTTTTAAATGGCTGTGTAGTACGTAGTATGAGAGTCTGAGACAGGAAGAGTTGGAAGCCAGCCTGACTGTCCCTCAAAAATACCCAAACTTTATTACTAACAATTTAGGGTCCCATACTATCTTATTGTCCAATCTGTAATGTCTATTATATGGTGGAAATGAACTTTAAACATCAGGTTACTTTGAAGTTGGTAATAGCACAGTTAAATTAAGACAGTGAAAGGTATATAAAAAATCTCAACTATAAGGGCAAAGTGACAATTCCATGGACTAATAATATCCTGTTATTTTGTTTGCAGGCCCCTACAAAAGCAGCACCTAAACAAAAAATTGTGAAGCCTGTGAAGGTCTCTGCTCCCCGAGTTGGTGGAAAACGCTAACTTGGTAGATCAGAGTTTCAAATAAAGTTCTATCTAACGCTAGGTTGGTGTTGGGTTTTTTCTTTCATAAAACGTATTTGGAGAGGGGGTAGTTTAGCCAAAGATTATGTTTAACTTGCCTGAGTTCCTACATTAGGTGTCTAGCTTTAAAAAAAAAGTTTTCTTACTGGTCATGGTGTCTGTCTTATACTTATCCCAGCACTCAGGAGGCAGAGGCAAGTGGATCTCTGAGATCAAGAACTACATAGTGAGACCACTCTTCAACACTAATGTCTCCTAATACAACCTTAGTTGAAGAGCCAGGAAACAAAATGCTATGGGTGTGAACTGTGTTTGGAGCACATGAAAATCTCCAGCATCCAAGAAACTTGGGGATTTCTATTGCTTTGGAGGCTGTCCTGGAATTCAAGAGATCCATCTGCCTCCCTAGTGCTGGGCACAACCTTTTTTTGATTTGTGCCTCAGCTATCCTTGGTTGTTAACGAGTTTAAGACCACTAATCTGTTCTTCCATGAAAAGCTTCAGTGAAAACCACCGCTGTTTTGTGTAGATCTTAGATTGGAAACCATTGGAACATCAAGGTTGTCTTGCTCCTTTAGGACATTTGTTCCGGGCACGAAGGAGAAGCTGTTCTACAGAGCAATTTCCAGGACAGGCTCCAAAGCTATACAGAGCAACCCTGGCACCAATACATCCAGTTGTTTGGTTGTTGAGTCTCTACCTCCTGGGTGCTGGGATTAAAGCAACTGCCACCATACCCAGCTGCTTTTTTTTTTTTTTTTTGAGAAAGGTCTACTCTGGCCTTCAGTAATTTCTTGGATTAGGAAATGGCTCTCCTTCTGCCTCACAAGTGCTCTAGCATTAAAGGCACAGACCAGTCCAGCTCAGTATTGCTTAAGTATAGTATATTTAGTTGAACTAGAGAATAAGAAAACCATATCAGATTTTAAATTTTCTCAGTAGTTCAAGGTCACCTTGGCTATGTAATGAATTTGAGTGGAGCCCAGAGTACATGAGACCCTCTCAAGAGACACCTTGCAAAAGTAAAGCAGCTACCTTTAATTTCACCATTCAAGAATCTGAGGTAGGATCAGTAAGGTTTGAGACCATTGAAATAACAAGATGTTTTCCCCCAGATAGCCATTAATTTGTGTAAAAAATTGGAATGTAGGTCTTTGCAAGGACATAATTGAACAAGACAATCTCTTTAAGAGTGGGTTAAACATAGTTTGACTTCCCTTAGGAAGAAAATTGGATCACACACAAAACCATCTGTTACCTCCAGGCGCTTACTAGGTGTGGATTTTTCCCGAAAGTAAATTAGTTAGGTCATAGCTGGATTTGCCACCTCATTTTCCCTGTATTCTCAAGATTTTATTCACGAAAACTTGCTAAATACTGGGCGTTGGTGGCCCACACCTTTAACCCCAGCACTCGGGAGGCAGAGGCAGGAGGATCTCCGAGTTCGAGACCAGCCTGGTCTACAAGAGCTTGGACAGCCTCCAAATCCACAGAGAAACCCTGTCTTGAAAACCTAAAAAAAATAGAAAATCTTGCTAAGGTTTTTAAAAGTAGTATTAGAATCGCGAGGCCACACCCCTACAGACGAAATCCCTTGAAGGGTTTGAGTGTCTGCAAACGGGCCGGGAAGGATGCTCTTATTTCCATTCTAATAGGAGAAACCCTAATCCCTTCCTCTGCTCCTCACCTGAGATCCGATTAAGGTCTAAACCATCATAGATCTGTCATATTTCAGGTCGGAAAAATTAGTAGCATCTGCAGCCACATCCCATGGGTTGAGAACCCTGGAACCTTCCAGTTCAGCAAAGGGCACCAAGTGTCCGGGAATTCCACGAGCACAGCGACCAGGAAGGCTAATCCAAGCTACCTCTCCCTGTTAATCATCTGAATAATCTGGGGCTGAATATTCGTCACCATGGTGATGATTCTAGGAAAATACTAATTTTGGTTGTGAGCTCAGCCTTTAACGGAAGAGCCATGCCTCCACCCCAATTCTAGAAAAATCTTACCACTCCATGGGTAGTTTGGAGATAGTTTTAAGAGGACAATTCATAACATTGAGACACTTAATGCTTGATAATACTGCGGTTACCTTTGGCCCAGAGCCAAGACGGTAGCAAACGACTGCTACAGTTTCAAAGGTGACGGAATCTAGTACAGCCAGTCAAAGTAGACCGGAAAACCGTCTCCTTTCACCCTTTGGGGGAAGGGTCTCAGCTGGGGCAAGAAACACGCAACAGCTCAAACACGTGGTTTTCCAGCGAGCGTGGGAAAAGGGGAAAAAAATCCTGCCAGGACTTAAGATGTCCGCTGAAGACCCTTGCACCTGCCAGAGAGAGCGTACCCTCTTCCAAAATGTCCTCCCGCAGGAGTGACGTCACTCCGCCGGCTCCCTCCGGGCCCGAAATTGAGAGCGCTCCAATCAGGCCCTGGGCCACGCCTCGCACGCGCGTCACTTCCGGTGGTGCAGCAGCCATTTTGTCAGTCGCCAGCGGATCCCGCGCGCTGCAGAAGTGCAGTTCCCCCTGGTTACCGAGTCGTCGGTTCTTCCTTGGCGCTGCGGGCGCCCGACAGGAGCGCCCACCAAAGGCGTAGGCGTTCCTCCTCAAAGTGCTGGCGCGGCTGTTGCATCCCTCCGGAGCCCGAGCGCTGTCTGCCTCTCCCCAGCACTGACAGGCGCCCTCAGGGCGCTGCCATCAGCGATGTCAAGCGAGGAAAGCTATCGGGCCATCCTGCGCTATCTGACGAACGAACGTGAGCCTTATGCACCGGGCACCGAGGGCAATGTCAAGCGGAAAATCCGCAAGGCCGCCGCCTGCTACGTCGTGCGCGGCGGGACTCTGTACTACCAGCGGCGCCAGCGGCACCGCAAGACCTTCGCGGAGCTGGAAGTCGTGCTGCAGCCCGAGCGGCGCCAGGGCCTCATAGAGGCGGCCCACCTGGGCCCCGGAGGCACCCACCACACCCGACACCAGACCTGGCACGACCTGTCCAAGACCTACTGGTGGCGAGGTGAGCTCTGGGCCGGGCGAGGGGGCGGCTCGGCGGCAGCCCTGCGGGACACGGCCCGCGGCTAGGCCTGCGTGCGCACTCGCGAGCCTGAGGTCTCGGACGCCTGTCCCCCTGGCCAGCTGGCGTTCGGCTGCACGGCGGCCGCGGGACCGCGGCGAGCGGGTAGGGGACGCGAAAGCAGCCGCACTTCCCCACAGGAAGGAGGCCCGGGAGGCTGGGGGCGGACCCTCGCCCGGGGTGGGGCTTAGGGGGCTTCCCCCGGGGCAGGGCCAGCCGAGGGAGGGTGTGTCGCGGTCACTCTGGGCCCGCCTCCTCAGGCCCCTGGCCGAGAGTGGGAGGTCCGGACGCAGAGGCTCAGACCCTCTCCTCTGCCCCGATGGCCGGGCTACACCCTGGGCTGCCGTCTACAGTGATTGCCGCTCGGGGTTGGCCAGTGGCCTTGGGACTCTCCGGATCCCCTTGCCCGGATTTCTCTGATTCTGGAACTGCGACATAAAAAAGGAATAACGCAGTTACTAGAATAACTATGAGCAGTCAGTGGTCTTGAGTCCCGTTTTTTAGAGTATTAGGTAGCCGTAACGACTGTCAGATACTTTTTCTTGGGGGAAGGGACAAGACATGCCGTCTTAAAAGATTTTATTAGGAAGAAATACGTCACTTTGGGCATTTGTTTTTCTTTTTTGAGTATGGTAATCTCCCTAGCTCACCAATCACGATGATACCAGATCTCTCTCTCTCTCTCCCTCCCTCCCTCCCTCCGGTGTGTGTGTGTGTGTGTGTGTGTGTGTGTGTGTGTGTGTGTGTGTGTGTGTGTGTGTGTGTGTGTGTGTGTGTGTTTGTTTCAAGACACGGTTTCTCTGTGTAACAGCCTTGGCCGTCCTGGATCTCACTCTGTAGACCATGCTGGCCTTGAACTCCTAGAAATTCACCTGCTGCCTCCTGAGTGCCCTACTGGGATTAAAGGCGTGTGTTACCTCAAACGGCCTATTTTAATACTATTTTGATTTTGTCAAAACAGCCCGGGGGTCTGAGGCGTGAGACACTATGTAAGTTGAGAAAAGATAGAATTACTGTGATTTCACTGACTGATTACTTACCTATTTGGGGAAAGATTTCACTGTTTCTTAGGCTGGCCTTGAATGCCTCAGAAGCTGCGATTACAAACCTGTGCCACAGACCTGATTTTAGTGATTATTTGGGGGCCAGAAAATAATAGCCCTAACGTTTCTTGATCCCCTGGGAAGCACATGAGAACAGAAAAGGCTTGTTTTTCTTTTTAATTTTAAAGATGAGTTTATGTATGTGAATATTTTCCCCTTTTTATTTTTTTAATATTTTCCCTTTATGTATGTATGTATGTGCATCGTGTGTGCCCGCTGCCTATGGAGGTCAGGGGAGGGCATTGGATTCCCTAGAACTGGAGTTACAGAGGGTTGTGAGCCAGCACGCGGGTGCTGAGAATTGAGCTGGAGTCTTCTGTAAGAACAGCAAGTATTCTTAACCAAAGAGCCATCTCTCCAGTCCCCACCCCCTCCTATTTTGAGGAGTCTTCACTATAAGGTCCTGGCTGGCATGGAAATCTATTATATATCATGTCCTAAAATTCACAGAGCTCCTTCTGCCTCTGCTACCAAATTGCTGGGATTAAAGGTATCCTTGGCTTTTTAACTTTTTTCCCTGGAGTTTATACAAAGTTTCTATATATGACTCTTCAATTGATACTAATAATAGTTTATTAGACAGACCATCATAAGAGATTTTATTAGGAAGAATTATGCCATTTTTAGCATAGTTTTGGAGAAATTGATATATGAATCATGATGACTTCACCTTGGAGTAAAGCAATTTGGCTTTTAATGTCAGTTTATATGTTTTTAAACTTTTTTAGATTTATTTCATGTTTCTCAGTCTTTTGTCTGCATACCTGTACGTGCACTACATAAATGCCTGTTGGATTCCCTGTAACTGGGGTTATAGATAGGTTTTAGTCACCATATGATGGGTCCTGGGAATCAAGTTCTGATCCTCTCAAAAGAGCACAAGTACTCTTAACTACTGAGCCATTTCTCCAGTCCTTCTAACTTTTGTTTTATTTTCCTAGAAGGTTTCTCTGTGTAGCCTCTGACTGTCCTGGAACTCCGTAGAATAGGTTGGCCTTGAACTCGCAGAGATCTGCCTGCCTCAACTGCCCAAATGCTGGGATTACAGGCTAGCACCACAACCACCCAGTCAAATTAATATTTTTTTTCCCAGATAAATGTTTTAAATGTGTGTGTATACATGCAGGCCACAGGCAGATCATACTTTTGTACTGGGTGGTCAGGATGAGTAGCAAGGGCCTTAGAGAATTCCTTTGTGCATAACAAACAGTCCAGAGTTATCTTATTCTCATACAGTTTTTCCTTACATTTCATTTTTTAAAGATTATTTTATGTGCATGGGTGTTCTGGTTTTATGTTTGTGTGCCCACAGAGTCCAAAAGGTATTGGATTTCCTGTAACTGGAGTTCTGGATTGTTGTGAGCTACTGTGAGTGTACTGGGAATCAAACTTTGGTCCCCTACAAGAACAAGTGCTCTGAACTGCTAGCCATCTCTCCAGCCTTCATTTTAGTTTTTAAAGAATAATTAATCTGGATGTGGTGGTATGCCTTTAATCCCAGCATTTGGGCAGCAGAAGAAGGCAGATCTTTGAGTTTGATGCCATCTTGATCTACAGAGAGAGTTCCAGGACAGCCAGGGCTACTCAGAGAAACCCTGTCTCTAAAAACAAACAAGAAAATAAATGAAATGAAAAAAAAAACAAAAACAAAAAACAACTCTGAATTAAGCCTGGCCTATGTTCCCAGCAATCCCATTGTTACAGAGGCAGAGGTCAGAGGATCACTGAAAAGTGGAGGCCAGCCAGATTTACATACTTAGTGCCAGGAATACATAGGAAGAACTTGTCTCAACTGCATCCCACAAGAAATCTGAATTAAGTTTCCACGGAGATAGAGTTGCAAAGAGGAAAGCTAGAGTCACAGCTGCATTTTGTTGAGATTGGTTTGGGCAGATATTATTAAACAAATTAGGTATGTTAAAAGATGCTGAAAGACAGTTCTAAAGGTAACAGATTCCACCACTTGAGAGGCAGAGGCAGCCTGGTCTATATAAGCATCAATGCACTACAAAGCTATGATGTTTGATAGATTAGGTGAATTAATGTTGTATTATATTTAAGGATGTTTTCAATTCACAATGAGATTTATGGGGATTATAATCCCGTCATAAATTGAAGCATTTATATTACTAGAGTTCAAAAACCCTGACCAGGAATAGTGGTGCACACCTTTAATCCAAGCACTTGGGAAGCAAAGGCAGGTAGATATCTGTGAGTTCCAGGCCATCCTGATCTACATTGAGTTCCAGGATAGATAGACCCTGTCTCAAAAACAGACAAGCAAAAACCCTGTTCTAGAGGGTTGATACTGTCTTCTTAGATGAGTACACACTACATATATGTACTCATATATATATATATAATATATGTACTCATGTATGTAATGTGTACTGACTGAAGTGCTTAGGAAGTTTTGCTTGTTGGTTTGATTGTTTGAGACAATGGACTCTCTTTGCTAAGCTAGATATACATTTTCTAATTCAGATGTTTTCAAGTTAGGACATGTTAATGTTTTCACATATTAAACAAATTAGGTATGTTAAAAGATGCTGAAAGACAGTTCATATGATTCACTTACTTTGAGGATGTAGTTCTAGACTAAACAAAGGTCATATGTCTTTTATAGTGTGTGTTATGCTTGTATATGTCCCTTGAGGTAGTTTTTTTTTAAGATTGATTTATTATGTTTACAATGTTCTGTCTGCATGTTTTGCCTGCATGCTAGAAGAGGGCATCAGATCTTATTATAGATGTTGTGAGCCACCATGTGGGTGCTGGAAATTGAATTCAGGACCTCTGGAAGAGCAGCCAGAGCTGTTAACCTCTGAGACATCTCTCCAGCCCCCCTTTATGCAGCATTGTTAATAGCAATATCCTTAAGTAACTAGTGTTATAACAAGAGTAGGGTTCCTTGACAGAAGAGTCAGCCTGTCTAGCTGCTTATTGCCACATGTCTTCTCTTGTTACGAAGTAGCAGGCCAGTCTTCATCAGATGTTGGCATTTAGTCTTGGATTCCCAGCTTCAAGAACTGGCCAAATAAATTCTCATTATGAATGACTCAATCTTTGATGCTCTATTGGACAGGCTACTTATTTATTTATTTATTTATTTATTTATTTTTGGTTTTTCGAGACAGGGTTTCTCTGTGGCTTTGGAGGCTGTCCTGGAACTAGCTCTTGTAGACCAGGCTGGCCTCGAACTCACAGAGATCCATCTGCCTCTGCCTCCCAAGTGCTGGGATTAAAAGCGTGCGCCACCAACGCCTGGCTCAGGTTACTTATTTATTATGTATATGGTGTTCTGTCTGTATCCCTGCAGCCAGAAGAGGGCACCAGATCTCATTACAGATGGTTGTGAGCAATCATGTGGTTGCTGGGAATTGAACTCAGGACCTCTGGAGGAATAGCTAGTGTTCTTAACCACTAAGCCCTCATATATATAATCTAATTTTACTTGTGTGTGTGTTGGGGGGGGTGCCCTCAGAGGCCGGAAGAGGGATCTGCTAATGTTGATGTTACAGCCAGTTGTGAGCTGTCTGACTGGATGGAAACTAGACTCGGGTCCTCTGGAAGAGCAGTAAGCACTTAACTGCTGAGCTCTCTCCAACCCAAAGATTTGTTTCTGCATGAAGTATATTGGCAATTTTTAATTAATTTGGAAAATTTCTCCTCATTATGACTTGAGCCATTTTAACTATTTGTATAGGGCAAGATAGTTGGGTATTGATTTTGTGTATCTAAAAACAGAGATATATTGTAGATACAGAGGAATATATTAGGTGATTTTTGTGGTTTTGTAAACATAGAATGTACTTTTATGAATGTAGATTGTGTGGGTTATATTATAGTAGCATTGTCATATATTTGGTCCATAGGTGACAGAAACAGCATTATACAAAATATAATAATTTTGTTGCATAGTGCCTTGTAATGCACAAAGAAATGGACAGGGATATATAACCATCTCATGCTAAGGGAAACTGAATAGTTGATAATAAGAAAACGTCTGTCTCATGTCGAAACAAATCATAATTCTATGCTTATATTTTTGAGATAGTGTATCTCACATTCTGAAAAATTTACTCTGCATTCTTTATGGGTGTGAGTGTGCTTGCATATATGCATCCAAACATAAATTAGTATATATATACATAAAATAACATTCTTCAACTTTCAAGTAGGAGCACTTAAATTTGTTGTTGGTTTTATTTTGTTTGACTGAAGGTATACTAAAGCAAGTTAAAGATTACATAAAACAGTGTAGCAAGTGCCAGGAGAAGCTTGATCGCTCCCGTCCAATATCAGATGCTTCAGAAATGTTGGAAGAATTGGGATTGGACCTTGAATCTGGAGAAGAAAGTAATGAATCAGAGGATGACCTGAGCAACTTCACTTCCCCTCCAACCACAGCCTCCAAGTCTTCAAAAAAGAAGCCAGTGTCTAAACATGAACTTGTATTTGTAAGTATGCTTCCTATCTAACTTTCAGTCTTAAAGTTTCTTGTGGTTGTTGTTTTTCCAGCATTGTTTGACTCTGAGTGCTGAAACTGGAGGGGATGTATTTGTCTAAAGCAGCAGTTCTCAACCTTCTAATGCTGCAACCCTTTCATATGCTTCCTCATATTGTGGTGACCCCAACCATAAAATTGTTTCTGTTGCTACTCCATAACTATAATTTTGCTATTGTTATGAGTGGTAATGTAAGTATTGGATCTACAGGATATCTGATAATGCAACCCCTGTGAAAGGGTTTTTTGACTCCCAAAGGGATTGAGACCCACTGGTCTAAAATAAAGCTTATTTAAGACATGTAAATTGCCTACTATGTTCTGTGAGCTAAGTGTACACTAGCTGTTACTCTTTGTTGAACCTAATTCTTCACAATTAATGTGGTATCCTATTTGTTCTTAATTAGTATCCTGATTGTAACTCCTTTTGTAATGATACACTGGCACAGGTTTATGGAATATTTTTCTGAATCAGGCTGTGGGTTGCATAGCAAATTACTCTAACTAGGACTTCTGCTTGTTTGGTATTTTTGGGACAAGGTCTCATGTAGTCAAGGCTGGCCTTGAAATAGTTACATAGGTGAGGAAGACCTTGAAGTTGTGATAGTCCTGCCTTCAGTGTTGGCATTACAGACATGTTCCACAGATTGTAGTTTATGAGGTGCTGGGATCAAATCTAGGCCTTCATACATGTTGGGAAACCCTCTACTAACTGAGCTCCATCTCTGTCTTCCTTGCTACTTTTTGTTGTTCTTTTTTGAGACAGGGTCTCTTTATTGTATCCCTGGTAGTGCTCAAACTTTCTGTGTAAAGCTAGGTGGCCCAGAACTCAGAGAAATCCTCCTGTCTCTGCTTCCCAAAATTAAAGTAAAGGTGTGTGCCACAATGCCTTAATTTGTGACTAGATTTTTGGCTGTATTTGCTTACTTGTTCATTTGTTTTGTTTTAGGCTAAATCAGTTTGAGACAGTGTTTCTCTGTAACTTTGGAGTCTGTCCTATAACTAACTTTGTAGATCACGATGGCCTCAAAAGAGATCCACCTGCCTCTGCCTCCTGAGTGCTGGAATTAAAGGCATGTGAAACCACCATCACACCATTACATATTTGACCAGAAAGAAGAGGCAACAAAAAGTAGGATAGGCTTTTGCTAGCATCAAGTAAAACAGTGTGACTGGGTATGGTGGTACACACCTTTAATCCCAGCACTTGGAAGGCAGAAACAGGAGGAGCTCTGTGAGTTTTAGACCAACTTGATCTATGTGGTGAATTCTAAGTTAGCCAAAACTACATAGAGACCCTGTCTTTTTAGGCAGAAAATAGTAATATATTTTACTTAAGTATATAGATAACATTGCTTGCCTGTTGAAAAGTAATGGATTTTTGTTAAGGGTATATATAGGTGATATATAATATACATCTTAATCTCAAACATATTTTGACAGGTTGACACCAAAGGAGTGGTAAAACGTTCTTCTCCAAAACATTGCCAGGCAGTTTTAAAACAGCTAAACGAACAGAGACTTTCCAACCAGTTCTGTGACGTTACCTTGTTAATTGAAGGAGAAGAGTACAAAGCTCATAAGTCTGTCCTGTCAGCAAACAGTGAATATTTTCGAGATCTTTTTATTGAGAAGGGAGCTGTTTCTAGTCATGAGGCAGTCGTGGATCTTTCTGGTAAGATTTTTCTAATACCCCTTGCTGTTTATTAATAAGCGTATACTACAAGGCAAATCTATATGTATCTTCCAAACAAACAGAATATATGTCAAAATGTAGGTCTGATTTCTCAATGGAAAAGATCCTTTTAAAGCAAGGCTCTAAGATTATTGTGGAAAGGCTGTTATTTTTGTTTGTTCATTTGTTTGTTTTTAATCCTCCTTCTATCAATTGAGATTATAATGTACTTGGTTTCTTTCTTTTTTTTTTTTTCCAGACAACATGTGCCTATAAAGCTCATTTGTCTGAAACTTTCTTTACTGACCTTAATTCATAGAGATTCACATGCATTGTGTGCTAGGATTACGGGCACAGGCTACTATGCCCTGCTCTCATGTTGCTTCTATTCTTAGATCTGTGTGAAGCATTATGCTTTATTTATTTATTTATTTATTTATTTATTTATTTATTTATTTATTTGCATCTGATGAATCAGTCTTGAGTCCCTAGAATGAAACCAGTAGCTTTAATGAGGTGTTTATTAATGCGTACTTTGTCTGGGGTGGGGGTGGAATGGGAGCAGTGTCTTAACTATGTAGTTTAGGCTGTCCTGGAACTCACTGTGTAGACCAGGCTAGCCTCAAATTCTTAGAGATTTGCCTGCCTCTGCCTCCTCAATGCTGGGATCAAAGATATATTTTGTCTACACTTGGTCCCTTAATGTGTTCAGTTTACAACAATACTGTTGAGAATTTTTTTGTTTTTTTTTTTTGTTTGTTTTTTGTTTTGTTTGTGTTTTGTTTTTTGTAGGCAGGGTCTTACTGTGTAGCTCTGCCTGTCCTGAATATGTAGACCAGGCTGACACTGAACCCATAGAGATCTGCCTGTCTCTGCCTCCCAAGTGGTGGGATTAAAAGCATGTGTTACTATGCCTGGCTCAGAATTTTTTGTATCTGTGTTCACCAGGGAAATTAGTCTGTAGTTGTCTTTTTCTTTTATTTTATTACTTATTTGTTTGTTTCATGTTCTTAGTCAATTTTATTCCAGGGTAAAGGTAGTTTCCCAGAATGATCTTGGTGCAGTGTCTCTTCATTTTCTGTTGTTGAGGAATATTAGCATTAGCTAGAATCTGGTCAGTTTGAGGTTTCCTGACCTGTTGTTCTTGTACTTAGGCATCCTTGGGAGCTTGGGTTTTAATAATAGGTTCTCTTGATAGCCGAGTAGTGGTGGCACACACTTTTAATCCCAGAATTCCCGGGAGGCAGAGGTAGGCGGATCTCTGTGAGTTCCAGGCCAGCATGGTCTATAAAGTGAGTTCCAGGACAGCCTGGTCTACAGAGTGAATTCTAGAAAAGGGTACATAGAGAAACCCTGTCTCAAAAAACAAAACGAAACAAAAAAGTAGGTTCTCTGTTAACATGGTGCCCAGCTGCTTCCTGTGAGTAATTCACAGTGACAGTGTGGAAAATTTCTTTTCTCCATTGCTGCCGACTCTGCTGGAGGTGTGTCCTGAGAGCAGGCTGTCCATCTCTTATGTAGCTTACCTTTTGAAAGTGCCCCTCTGCCCATTCCCCCAGGGAACTGCAAGGCTGAATTTTATTTATTTTGTGGATTTAGAAGTCCTCACTCTCTTTGTACTTGAGTTGTTTTGTTTGTTTTTCGATACAGGGTTTCAGCTCTGGCTGTTCTGGAACTCACTCTGTAGACCAGGCTAGCCTCAAACTCACAGACACCCCCCCCCAACCCAGTGCTTGCTGGGATTAAAGGCAGTTGCCACCATCAGGCCTTTTTTTTTTTTTGCCCTCACTAGGTCATATAAAAGTTGCTTCTGATCTGCTAACTTGCCCTAGTAGTTCTATTTGATTTTGATTAAATGTTCTGTAGAGTATAAATATGTGTATGTAAACAAACTAAAGGTAAAAACAAAGTGGAATTACCTGTTACCTCTTAAAAGAAGAAATCTGAGTGAATTTACTATCTTTTTTTTTTTTTTTTTGGCTTGTTTTTTATTTTTTATTTTTTTTGAGACAGGGTTCCTTTGTATAGCCCTGGATGTCCTGGAACTCACTACTTACTGAGATCTGCCTGTCTTTGCCTCCTAAGCCCTGGGAATTAAAGGCGTGTATCATCACCACCGGTTAATTTCGTACTTTAAGATACCTTAAACACATCACTTATTTTAAATACTTAGTCATTTGGAGTTTCTTCCAGGGGAAATTTTTATGACTAAATTCGCCCCTCCCTTTTAGATCTTTGAACTTAGAAATTAAAAAGACATTAGGTAAAAGATCAAAATACATTAGTATATGATTTAAGGACTTGTCTGTCCTCTGTCCATGTATAGAAGAGCCCCATATTTTATATACTTTGGATAAAAACATCTTCTTTGTCTCCAGACTTACCAGTTTATCTCCATAAGATATCTCTATGTTTTAGGAGGATATGCTGTTGTATGTACGAAAAGAGAAAAGTGTAAACATGCTGGAAAATATTTGGTGTTTTGTGGGTAGGGATAAGAATATATGGATATCCTGTGGTGGTGACGCACGCCTTTAATCACAGCACTAGGGAGGCAGAGGCAGGCAGATCTCTGAGTTTGAGACTAGCCTGGTCTACAAGAGCTAGTTCCAGGACAGCCTCCAAACCCACAGAAACCCTGTCTCAAATCATGCGCCCCCCCCCAAATATATCTGGATGGCTGCATAAAGACACTTGACAAGAGACAGTAGATTGAAAGACCTGTGAGTTCGAGGCCAGCTTGGTCTACAGAGAGAGTTCCAGGACAGCCTCCAAAACAGTACAGAGAAACCCTGTCTCGAAAAACCAAAAAAAAAAAAAAAAAAAAAAAAAAAGACTATATCCCCAAATCTGCAGATTCAACATAATCTCCATCAAAAACCATGACATTGTTCACAGAACTTGGAAAAATAAAACAAAACTGGTCTACAGACTTAGTTCCAGGACAACCTCCAAAGCTACAGAGAAACCCTGTCTTGATGAACCGAAGTGGGGTTGGGGGGGGAGAAGAATTGGATGAGATTTTTTGTAATTGTAGCACAGGATAAAAAGAGTGAAGAGACAGTTTACAGTTACATATCAGATTAAGATTAATAACCAAAGTATATGAAGACTACAAAAATAAAAACGCTACACACACACACACACACACACCAAAATCATTCAGCCAATTAAATAAATGAACTGAATACAGTTCTCAAAAGAAGAAATACAAAGGCTAATAAAAACTTGAACTTGAGTGTTTAACATCCTTAGCCTTCAGGGAATGCACATTAAAATTGCTTTGAGGACCAGAGAGATTGGCTCAGTGGTTAAGAACACTGGCTGCTCTTCTAGGGGACCCAGAATCAATTCCCAGCACTCACATGGCAGCTCACAACTATCTGTAACTCCCATTGCAGGGGATCTGATTTCCTCTTCTGTCTCTAAGGGCACCAGACATTACTGCAAGCAATCACCTATATTCATTTATAAAAAGTGTGAAGGTTGCTTTGAGATTCCTTCTCACCCATGTCAGAATAGTGAAACAAAGGATTACAAAACCGGTGAGAATGTGATGAAAGAAGAACCATTCATTGTGGGTGGGAAAGTATACTTGGGTAGCCACTGTAAAAATATGTATGGAGTTGCTGAATGAGGTGGTATACACCATTAACCCCAACATTTAGAAACAGGCCTCTGCCAGTTTGAGACCAGCCTGGTCTACATGGTCAGTTTCAGGATAGCCAAGGCTATGTAGAAAGAGACCCTGCCTCAGAAATAAATAAGCCCCACTAAAAATAAACTACTACAGATGACCCACTTTTACCATTCTTGGGTCGTCAATATGCTATGGAGATACTTGTCATCTATGTTTATTGCTTCACTATCATAATAGGTAGAAAATTGAGCCAGATTAGATGTTCATCAAAATAAATGAATCACAAAATAGAAAGGGGATTCTAAGAGGAGAGGAGGGGATTATAAAGGAGATGGGAAATGGAGTAGTATCACATGTTATGATATGAATGAATGCAAGGGAGACTTTGGGAGGAGGAAGGGAACCATCTATCTGAAGGAGGAAGGGCTTATTAGGGGAGCCACAACGAAAGAAGTATAAGCACACACTTATGAAGAGGTCAACATGACTTTGTTTTTTGTTTTTATTTTTAGAGACAGGGTTCCTCTGTGTAGGTTTGTAGACCAGGCTGGCCTTGAACTCACAGAGATCTGCCTGCCTCTGCCTCCTGAATGCTGGGACTAAAGGAGTGTGCCACCACTGCTGAGTTTTGTTTTTGTTGTTTTTAATATTTTATGTATCCCAGGCAGGCCTTCAACTTTCTTTAAAGATGATCTTGAACTTTGATCTACTTCAATTTCTAAATGCTAGGATTACAGGGATACACCACACCCAGCTTTATTGTTATGGATATCAGACCTACTGCTTCATACTAGTCAAGAATTCAAGCAACTGAGCTACATCCCTGAGCTCAAAATTGAGGTTTTTAATACATTTATTTAGTGTGGGTGTTTGTGTGGACGTGGGGACACTTGTGTTCCAGGGAAGGCACAGTTGCATAGATCTGAAGACAACCTGTGGAACTTGGTTCTCTCCTTCACCATGTGGGTTCTAGGGATTGGCCTCAAGTTACCACCAAATCATCTCACTGGCTCCAAATCTTTGTTTTTAATGTGCACATGTAGAATACTTTGTTCAATTAAATTTACTACTATTATTATTAGAAAATATCTATAATAAGTGAAGAGAGGTAAGGGGTCAGGTTGGTTGGTCCCTGTCTATTCACTTTCCTACCCCCTCCCCTTTTTTACCCTCTATCCTCCAGCAACTGTTTCTTGAAGGGAATTGAGGAACCCCCAGGGTTCTAAGGAGTACAGTTTGAAAATGGCTGCCTTATAACAACTCTTGAGGTAGTAAGTCTGTTATTTTCTTCTTTATAGTGATTTAGAGACTCAGCTCATGGATGTTAGTTAAGGTTGCTTAATAGCAACTAGAACTTAGAAAATCCAATGGTAACTAATTATAGAATAATGGTGATTTTCATTATATTCTTCTCTTGTCACAAATCTATATTCCACTTAGAAAGTAGTTTTGTGGTGATTGAATTGTTTTGTTCCTTGCTTTTCCTTGTTTCACACAGGCTTTTGTAAATCAAGCTTCCTTCCTTTGCTGGAATTTGCCTATACCTCTGTACTAAGTTTTGACTTTTGTAGCATGGCTGATGTAGCTGTCTTAGCTCGCCATCTTTTTATGTCAGAAGTTTTAGAAATCTGTGAAAGTGTACATAAGCTAATGGAAGAAAAGCAACTAACAGTATATAAGAAAGGTGAAGTACAAACGGTCGCATCTACTCAAGACTTACCAGCACACAATGGAACCACAGCACCACCTGTGACTAGGAATGAAGCAACCACAACTTTGTCAAGTGAACTTGGGCATTGTGAAATTGTACTGCTTGTAAATGGAGAATTGCCAGAAACAGAACAGCATGGGGAGTCAGGGCGGCAGCCTGTGGCTCCGGTTCCTCCAGAGGCTGAAGCTAGTGTGTCCCCTATAGAATGTATAGCTGATCCCCATTCTGAAATGGAAACTGCTAGCTTAGCAACTAACACCAACCAAACAGAGATAGAGACTGCAGTCCTCGGAGAAGATGGCACAGTTGATAATGTTCATCCTAATATTTCAAAAGAGAATGTAATCAGTATTTCTCAAGAGGATAATGATATGAGAAATGACACATCGCCTGAGGACATCGGTGCCAAAGACGGTCCAGATCATAGTCAGAGCCCTGACCAACCTTTAAAAGATCAGGAAACTCTAATTGAAACCACAGAAAAGACAGACTCAGGCCCAGAAGATGATACTTATAAAAGTAGGCTTAGGCAGCGGTCTGTTAATGAAGGTGGCTACATCAGACTACACAAAGGCATGGAGAAAAAGTTACAGAAGCGGAAAGCCATTTCTAAGTCGGCAGTTCAACAGGTATGATATAAAATAGGTTGCTTTGTCACTTTAGCTTGAGAACATTCTAGTATTGAACTCATGTCTACAATAAAAATTATAGGAGGTTGGGGGATGTGCAGGGAGTGTGTATGGGGAAGCAGTTTACAAATATATTATAACATGACCCATGACTTTAAATTTTTTACTGAAGTTGGACATGGTGTTGCATGTGAGGCAAGAGGATTGCTGTGAGTTTGAGGCCAATCTAGGCTATATAATACCTGCTGCCATCCTTGGCTAAAAGTTAAGACCATGTCTCAAAAAGGAGATAATGAGTGATTTTCTTAGATTGTGTTTTGTGTCTCTTTAGGTGGCCCAGAAACTAGTTCAAAGGGGGAAAAAGATGAAACAACCCAAAAGGGATGCTAAGGAGAACACTGAAGAAACATCTCATAAATGTGGGGAATGTGGAATGGTTTTTCAAAGACGGTATGCCTTTATAATGCATACATTGAAACATGAAAGAGCTAGAGATTACAAATGTCCGGTAAGTACCTAGAAAGCTAACTGAAAATGATCCTACATTCATAAATGGAATCCATCTTACTGACTACTCTGTTTATTCCTATTACATTTTTGATTAATTAGATGAACTTTTGTTTTTGGTAGACCAGGTTTCTCTTTATTGCTTTGGTGGTTGTTCTGGAACTCTCTGTAGACTAGGCTGGCCTCAAACTCACAGAGATCCACCTGCCTCTGCCTCCCAAGTGCTGGTATTAAAAGTGTGCGCCGCCAATATCTGGCTAGATGAACTCTTACATTGTAGCCCGGGCTAGCCTCAGATTGGAGGCAATCCTCCTAATTTGGGCTTTCAAGTACTGGGATAACAGGCGTGCCAACCACACCCCAACCCTGTCTTACATTGCTAAAAGATTCTGATTCTTGTTATTTATTTGCCCCACCTAAATACTCAGTAAGAGAACATTGAAAAGATTGTTCTTACAAACAGTAAACCTGGGGCCAGAGAACTGGCTCAACAGTTAAAAATATTTGTTATTCTTGCAGAGGGCCCAGTTTTGTTTTCTAGCACCCACGTGGTGGCTCACAACTATTCATAGGCACGTGTTTAATGCATATACATACATGCAGGCAAAACACACACATAAAAATTAATCTGAAAACAAAATGAAAAGAAAAACATAAAAAGGTAAGGTAGCGGAAGAGGAGACCTAGACAACTAAACTCTGTCAGCTAATAAATGTATAAAGTGATTTTTGAACTACATTTCCAATAGAGAAAACAGACTAAATCACATTTGTATTAAAGAACCAACAAGTCCCAAGAATTGATGTTACTGATTATTTTGAGATTAAGATTAATTACATTACCATCCTTTGGCCAGGAATGTCCCTTCCCTTTAAAAAACAAATTATAACTGCCCTAGGAAGAACATGTACAGTGATGGTAGATAGATATCTACCCCAAATCAGAAAAAGGAAAAAGTTTACTTAATGAATATTGAACCCTTTCAAGTTCTTCCTTTACTCAAGTCCCAGGGTGTTAGGACTCAAACCCTTAACCTTAAAATGTTTTCTGTGCAAACAGAGAAATCTGAAGGTCAATAACAAAAGACCTAATGATAGTGCTAGTCAGAACCTTGGGTTGATATTAACAATTCCTCCTCCACCTGAGTGTCTCTTCCTTTCCCTTGTTGACTGGTCTGGGTATCCAGGGCCTGGAACATGCTAGGTGCACACAATCAGGTCCACAGTCAGGAAGCAGAGAGCTCTGAAGAAGGAAGGGCTCAGCACTTTCTCCTTAAGTCACTTTTGTTTATTTTGTCACAGCAAAAGGAAAAGCCATCAGGACAGTGTCAGATGCATACCAAGGGACAAAAGCACAAAGAGGAAAACAGCAGCTTTTAAATAAAATACATATGGTCCCAATAAACAAAGATCTAACTTGAAGACTTAACTTTATGAGGAATTAGTATATGGCCCACCCCACTGTAAATGGAAGAACATCTAGATAGTAACAAATACCTTAGAAAAGTTACAATTGAATAAATAAATGTCCCAAAGATAGAGCGAAAGGAAATATTAAAAAAATAGATGGGAAAATTAGATTTTTTTTTTTTGAGACAGGGTTTTTCTGTATAGCTTTGAAGCCTATCCTAGCTGGCACTTACTCTGTGGACCAAGATGGCTCATACTCACAAGAGATTCACCTGTTTCTGCCTCCTAAGTGCTGGTATTTAAGGCATGTGCCACCACTGCACAAACTTGTTTTGAAATTTCTAAATAGCTGGGCGTTGGTGGCGCACGCCTTTAATCCCAGCACTCGGGAGGCAGAGGCAGGTGGATCTCTGTGAATTCAAGGCCAGCCTGGTCTACAAGAGCTAGTTCCAGGACAGCCTCCAAAGCCACAGAGAAACAAAACAACAAAAAAAGAAATTTCTAAATAATATTTCTAGAGCATGGATAGAAAGGGCGGGTGGGGTTGGGAGGGAAGAAGATGTTTTCATCTTGAAAGATTAAATCTATAGCAACATCATTCAGAAACAGCAGCAGATGGGTTTCTGTGAATTTGAGGAAAGCCAGGGCTACACAGAGAGACCTTGTCTCAAACACACAGCAAAAGGGTTGTGCCTAGAACATACTAGATAAGAAGAAACTATAAAGAGACATAAGCAAAACAGAAAATAAAAAGTAATAGGATCAAGGCATATCATGTAGCCCATAGCATTCATAACCAATACCCAAGTATAGTGGCTCCATAATTCCAGCATTCAGAGGCTGAGACAGGAGGGGAGGCAAGGCTAGCCTGGACTACAAGGTAAGTTCTAGCAGAGAACCTGACCAAAGCAAAACAAAACTAGCCATAGTTACCGTGACATTACTGTATTATTAAAATGAGATGATAGGAATCAGTAATCAAAGTTGTATATGCATTCTACTTGGTGTTAGAAAATAAAAAATCAGCCAGGTGTTGGTGGCACACGCCTTTAATCCCAGCACTCGGGAGCCAGAGGCAGGCGGATCTCTGTTAGTTCGAGGCCAGCCTGGTCTACAGTGTGAGTTCCAGGACAACCTCCAAAACAATACAGAGAAACCCTGTCTCGAACAACCAAAAAAAAAAAAGAAAGAAAGAAAGAAAAAGAAAAAAAAATCAAGAGTTAATTCTGGAGGCCAATACAGAGACTTTTTTTTAAATAAAATTTTTAATATGTTGAGCAAATATATCCTCAATTTATGAGCACACAAGTGCTTTCCTAAACTCCAGCAACTATAACATAATCTGAAGGCTGTTATAGTTCTAACTTTTCTACTTTTTACAGTCCCTGTTTCATTTCTCCCTAAACTCTTGGTATTGATATATTGATAATACTTTTTACGGGTGTTCTAGTGTAGTCTTTTAATGGTTGTGCCAGGAATCAAACCCTCTATCCCAAGTAACATGCAAACTCTACTATTTCTTTAAGACCCAACTCAAGCCAACTCTGATTATGCCCTCTTAAGACTTAATTCTCTCCAGAGTCTTATCCTTTTCATTTTTATAATCTGGTACCTAGTGCTTTTTATTTTTTATTTTTATTTAATTTTTTAAGACAGAGTCTCATGGCCTAAGGCTGTCTTTTGTGTTTATGTAGGTGGCTGTGTTCCATACAATATCAGACTTGTGGCAATACTGTACATTTATTTATTTATATACTTATAACTAGAATTGAAAAATTGAAATGTGAATTGTCACTTGATGTTTTATATAGGAAGAGCTTTTGTCTTTCTTTTTTAGTTATGTAAAAAACAGTTTCAGTATAGTGCCTCATTACGAGCACACCTTATACGACATACGAGAAAAGATGCGCCCACTTCATCTTCATCTAATTCCACATCTAACGAGGCATCAGGAACATCATCTGAGAAGGGAAGAACCAAAAGAGAATTCATATGCTCTATATGTGGGAGGACATTACCTAAATTATACTCTCTCCGAATACATATGCTAAAGCACACAGGTGTAAAGCCACATGCCTGCCAGGTAAAGACCTGTTTACTTTGTTATTTAGAGAGGACCAGAAATTACCCATAGTGTGACATGGGTTGACATGTATTCTCTGAAATCATCTTTACTCTTGTAAAATTGTTAAGGAAGTTTATCTTTGATTTGTTGCCTGCATTAAATGTGATTCTCTGTTGTAGTCTTTGAAGTTGTAATTTGAAATATTTTGGTGTTCAGAGTACCTACTTCATGGGAATAGCCGTTTATCACCCTAGTCATCCCTTAGCCATTAGTAGAAATTACCTTATCCTTTAGTGGAAAAGAATGTGTGCCATAAGCAAAAACTGGTTAGAAAAATCCTTCCTAAGTATTGTTCTGCTGTTGCTTGCTGTTGCCGAGGATTGAGGGGTAAGTAAAAGCCAAAACTCTGGGTTAAAGAATCCTTTGATTATCTAGCTTTGGGCTGTTTGAAGCATGGAAGAGTTTTGAGCAACACCGATAGCCTTATATATAAACATGGCAATCTGTTTTTCTTATCAAACAATTGTAGAACCAATGTGGTTTTGTTGTTTAGTTTTTAAAAAAAAACTTCATACATGCATCTGCATTACTTCTGCCCCAATCTCCTGTCTCCAACTCTTCCTGTGCCCCCTCATCCATGAGTGCTTCTTTAATTACTATTATATGTGTGTGTTGTTATTCGTATGTATGCATGCACATGTGTATATACCTTCCTGGAGCCGCCATTTAACTTGGATTATATGTACTACATGTGTCTATGGCTAACCACTTGGGATTGGACATCTTTTGTGGGAACTAGTCCCTGGAGGAGATTGGTTCTCTCTCAGCAGTCATTGACCATCCCCCACTTCCCATACTCTTCATGTAGGGGTGGGACCATGTGCAACTTCCTGTCTGTTTTTGGGTTTTCAAGTTGATGTTGTCATTGTGGAGGTAATTGTATTATTCAGGCAACCGTATTGTGGAGAGTCCATTGGTACAGCTTCCCTGACAGATGGAGAAGACAACCATTTCAGAGCAGACGTCCTGGTCCTCCAGTACCCCCACCTTTCTGAGATTTTCCCAGAATTATATTAGTTGAAGTTGGGAAATCCACAGTCATTTACTCTTCATTTTGACCTATTTTGGATCTTTGTAATAGTCTCCATCTGTTGCAGAAAGTAGCTACACTTACGTGTAGGAATAGTTAGAAAACACATTAGCTAAGGAAAATGGCAGTAGAAGGGTCTCCTCTCAGTTCTATGACCTCTCTAACCACAGGTCTTTGTTTAAGTATCTTAGTACATGAAAATAGAATTTATTGTAAAAGAACCTTCCCCCAGCCGGTGGAGGCACACACCTTTAATCCCAGCACTCGAGGGGCAGAGGCAGGTGGATCTCTGAGTTTGAGACCAGCCTGGTCTACAAAACGAGTTCCAGGAGAGGCTCCAAAGCTACACAGAGAAACCATGTCTCGAAATAAAACAAAACAAAAAGAGAACCTTTAATCAATATTTGGTACTTATCAGCTCATGGGCAGTCTGTTTTATTTTTATTGTCACTCACTTTTTTCCTTCACTGTCCCAATTATTTTTCAGGTTAAGCTCTAAGAATTGCTCATTCATAAGTTTAAACACTAAGTGTAGTTTTAGCATCTGGTCTTCAATGTGACACTATTCAAAATGTGTGTTCCATGGAAAATAAACACAGAATTAAAAACATGAAAGCTCTTACAACTGTTGACATTGCTGCATATATTGTGCTTAACAAAATTTCTCCAATGGAAAATAATCCATTCTTCATCCAGAGTTTGAGAAGAACTGTTTTATGTGGTGTCTCTTAGTTAAGCTTTCATTCCTCTTTAAGGTGTGTATTTTGTCTAGCTGGCACAGATAGATGTTTTTTCCTACTGTTGTGTGCACTTTTAGAAAGATGGCAGTTCTACTGAGTAAGAAGAGGGGTTGTCCCGTGGTGGCACAAAGCTTTTATCACGAGAGGTAAAGGCAGGTGGATTTCATGAGTTCAAGGCCAACCTGGTCTACAAAGTGAGTTCCAGAACTTCCAGGGCTACACAGAGAAACCTTGTCTCAAAAAACCAAAAAAGAAAGAAAGGAAGGAAGAAAGAAAGAAAAGGAGTCAACTAGCTAAGATCTTTGGTATTTATTGCTTCATCTTTGACATTGTATTGTCATTTTGATAACTTTAACATAACAAATTATAGTTTAATTGTTTAACATTTTCTACTTACAGTAATACTAGAATGTTTTTGTAATACAATCTTAAAACTTTTTTTTTTTGGTGCCTTAAACATTTCTGTGTTAGGTCTGTGGAAAAACTTTCATCTATAAGCATGGTCTAAAGTTACATCAAAGTCTCCATCAATCACAAAGGCAGTTCCAGTGTGAACTGTGTGTCAAGTCATTTGTTACCAAACGGAGTCTTCAGGAACATATGAGTATTCACACAGGTGATTATAGAAACTATTGACATGGTTGTATTTTGTCTTTTTAACTTACTATTATGCTGATTGGTTATACTGTAATTATATCAGAGCATTGTATTCCCAGCACTTGGGACCATGAGTCAGGAGAATGATGAGTTCAATGCCAGCTTGGGCTTCATAAAATTTCTAGGCTAGTCTAGTCTACATAATTGGACCCTGTCTCAAATTTCTTGTAACTCCCAAGTAGAAGTAATTATTATTAAGATGTTCATAAGTTCTTGTGTGTAATCTTTTAGTAGTAAAAATTTAAAGTTTCCTTAAATGTAATTTCTGATTTATCTTTATAGAAATGCTCTTTTTTAAAATGATTCATTTTGTATGTGTTCATGTATATATATGTGTGTGGGGGTCAGAGGACAACTTTGAGGAGTCAGTTCACTTGGTCTATCATGTGGGTACCAGGAATTGAAGTTGAAAGGGTTAGCAACAAGTGCTTTACCCACTAAGCCTCACATACTTATGTGCTGTAAAGCAAAAGTGTAAGAATGGCCAGTGTTGCTGAACATAACATTTCAGTTAACATAACATTACAGTTCGTAAGTTATTCAGACAGTACATTTTTACACAGTCACCTTTATTAGCATAGCCATTCATCATCCTAGCTGTCTTGGAACTCAAGCCGGTCTAGAACTCAGAAATCCTCCTGTCTCTGCCTCTCAAGTTCTTGGATTAAATGCATGTGCCATCATGCCTACCAAAACTTCTAAACCACATCATCAGGTACTCATGGCAGTGACCCTATTTTTGGTCCGGATTTTGTTGCCATTCATAATGGTGACAGATGGTATGTGTCAGGGAGAGCCGAGCTGCCACAACTATGGGATTCCCATTCTGTGTGGGGTGGGAAGGGCAGGAGGCTGGGCGGAGATGAAGGGCGCAGCAATCACTTGATAGAGGTTACCTTCTACACCTCCTTTGACTGTCCACCTCTTCTCCATGGAGAGCTCCTTGTTCTCTCTCCTCCTTCCTCTCCTATGAATGTTTCAAATGCTTGCTGTTGCTCAGCTCTCACCTGCAAAGGTGTTTGTCAGTGACAGAATACTATCACAATCTGTTAAATATCTTGATAGTGATAGCCTTTTGAAAGGATATAGAAAGTTTAATGACCCAGGTTTTTGTAAAATGACACTTTGTGTTCTTTTGTCTTGATAAATTTTAACATCCAGTTATGTTGAAAAGAGGGCCTACTTACTGCATTTATAATATGGCTTTTCATTTTCTCACAGGAGAGTCCAAGTACTTTTGCTCAGTTTGTGGAAAGTCTTTTCACAGGGGCTCCGGACTTAGCAAGCACCTTAAGAAACACCAACCAAAGCCTGAAGTTCGAGGTTATCATTGTACACAGTAAGTAATATGTAAAGTTAATTTCACTTAACTTTTTGTTTGTTTGTTTTTTGAGACAGGGTTTCTCTGTGTAGTTTTGTAGACCAAGCTGGCCTTGAACTCACTTAGATCCACCTGCCTCAGCCTCCTGAGTGCTGGGATCAAAGGTGTTTGCCACCACTGCCCGGCTCAGTTTCACTTATCTTACCTGAGTTATAACATTGCTTTTTTATAAGAAAACATTCAAAGCTAACATTAAACTGTAATTTCAGTTTACTGAGTTATCAGTCTGCCTAGCTCTTATTGTTTGTTTTAAGAGGTTTTTTGTTTATTTTTTTAAAGAGTTGTTGTTGTTGTTTTAAGTTATTGAAAGAGACTTTCTTAGGTCCTACCTAGGGGAGAGAGGTCTACAGCCAGCCAGGCTCCTTTGTAGGGGTTTCTTTCTCCATAACTCTTCTCTGTTTACTTTCCAAAATTACCTAACCTTTTAAAATTGAAATTAAATTCATAAAATCAAAAAGTGATCACCTTATGTCATATTGAGTAGGCTCCAGCTGTCCCTGCCAGCTGCCCCTGCCTCCCAGGTTCATCTGGGGGTCATGCATTTGAAGATTCTCAGATGGCTGGCAAGGAGCACTACTATGTTTTCAGTTCACAGATTAAATCTACAACATTTGACCCACCTTAAAAAAGAAATCACCTTAAAGGGAGTTTTTAATAATACTCATAGTTTTTTACAAATAACATGACTAATTCATCCTTCCAGCCTCAGCTGTCTTAGCGTTCATCAGCAGGTTGTGCAGGTTTTTTTGTTTTGTTTTTATGTACCCATAGCAGGGATCACACCCATTTCATAGAACATCCCTACTTTATGTAGCTTAATATTTCCGTGATATTGTTTATTTTATTTTTTTGTTTTGTTTGTTTGCTTGTTTTGAGATAGGGTCTTTCTATTTAGTCCTGGCTGTTCTAAGTCATTGTTTTTGGGGTGTGAGGTTTTACTGTGTAAGCTCTGACTTGCTTGAAACTCCTTGGGTAACTCCATGGCTGGTCTGGAACTCAACGGAGATCTGCTTGCCTCCAGGATGCTGGGATTAAATGCATGTGCTACCACACCCAAATTCAATATATAGTTTTCCTAGACTCCCCAATGAAGTCAGCCAGTTGTTCTAAATCTTTTATGGATAAACAGCTTTTTTCCATTTCCTACTCTGCTATATTTGCCAGTTTCATTACAATTAGTCTCATTTTAAAGTAAAGATAAAGTTGGCATTGGTGGCACATGCCTGTACCCTGGTACTTGAGCTGAGGCAGGAAAATTGCACATTTGAGACATGATTGGAGTGAAACTCTATCTCAAAACAAATGCCCCAAATTAATAATAACAATAATAATTTTTTAAAAGTTAAAAAAAAATACCAGCAAATAAGGTGGACTTTTTGTTTGTGGTTTTTCGAGACAGGGATTTTCTGTGTAGCCCTGGCTGTCCTGGAACTTGCTTTGTAGACTAGACTGGCCTTGAACTCACAGAGGTCTGCCTGCCTTTGTCCCCGAAATAATGGGACTAAAAGCATGCATCACCAGCACCTGGCCCCAGGTACAGTTTTTTATCAGTAGTTTGTTATTGTTGTTATCTGGGAAAGAAAATCCAACCTAACTGGCTTGAATGAAAAGTCAAGTCGGGAGGTGTGAGTGGTCTAAGTTGGATTCAGATTGATTAGTGCCTGCTTTCTCTCGGGCTCCATATGGACAGATTTCGGCAGTTGTTTCAGCTTCTCATTCTCTCAACTTCCAAATTGTCAAGAGTCTTTTCTGGTAGTTTCTGTGAAAGTTCTGAGTTTCACTCTGATTGGATCAAGTTAAGTCGTTGGCATCCCTAAGCTGATTGTTACTACGAAGGGATGCTGTTATTGTCATTGATTAGGCCTGAGTCATTGCTTCATTGCTAGTGTCAATAACGAAGCCCCCCCTTCCTAACCTGGACAGAAGAGGAAGGGGATGCATGATGCCTTCTCAAGCATTTTGAGTTTTCTAAAAAGAATTTAAACCTTGTGTCCTTGATGCAAGAGTGAAACAGTAGTTCCACCCCCCCCCCATATTTTAAATTTGGAATAATTTTGTGACGCTTCAAAAGTGTAATATAGTGAATTCTTGGAGAATTGTTTTAAAGATGATCCAATTGTGGGTAATTAAACCTTATTACAGATGTGAAAAAAAGTTTCTTTGAAGCTAGAGATCTGCGCCAGCATATGAATAAACATCTTGGTGTGAAGCCATTTCAGTGCCAATTTTGTGATAAGTGCTACAGCTGGAAGAAAGATTGGTATTCCCATGTGAAGTCCCATTCTGTCACTGAACCTTACAGGTGAGTCAATCTGATAAGTATCTGAACTCATTGAGAAATATACCCACTTTCAGTTGATTCTTATACCCATTATTTGGAGAAAAATAATTTGGGCCTTTTCTATTTTAGGTGTAATATATGTGGTAAAGAATTTTATGAGAAAGCTTTATTCAGAAGACATGTAAAGAAAGCCACCCATGGGAAGAAAGGAAGAGCGAAGCAAAACCTGGAACGGGTGTGCGATCAGTGTGGAAGAAAATTCACTCAGCTTAGAGAGTATAGGAGACACATGAACAACCATGAAGGTAACGTATATTTATCCTGTTAGAAGAGAGCCAAGTGCATTCTTATTTTGTCAGCTCTTTTACCTGTTATCTTCTCTCTTGGTAGATTAATCCTGTATCTTGAAAGATTTATTTAAGTGGTACTGAGTCTGAAACTTATTTGGAGACTCTTATCCTAGGAGTATAAGATTGCAGTTAAAGGGTAAGATCATGGCAAACTCACAGTTGTTCATAAGTAACTTCTATTATGAGAGAACACCTTTAGAGAAATAATAGTTCAAAACCTTGGTTAGTCCATTGAAAACTATTAGATGCTAACTAAAAGATGATAGTAATAAAAGTGATATGTCTGTGGACTTCTGTATTTTAAAAACATTTGCAAGACAATTTTCATATATATTAGAATTTGGAACCTTATCCAACAGACCCTCTATGCTTTTTCTTTCCTTTTTTTTTTTTTTAAATAGGAGTTAAGCCCTTTGAGTGCTTAACATGTGGAGTAGCTTGGGCTGATGCCCGATCACTAAAACGTCATGTCCGAACACATACTGGTGAACGGCCCTATGTGTGTCCTGTGTGTAGCGAAGCTTACATAGATGCTCGAACACTTCGTAAGCATATGACTAAATTCCACAGAGACTATGTGCCTTGCAAAATCATGCTGGAGAAAGACACTCTGCAGTTTCATAACCAAGGAACTCAAGTGGAACATGCTGTCAGCATCTTAACTGCAGACATGCAAGGACAAGAAAGCACTGGGCCTCAAGAGCTTGAGACTGTGGTGGTGACAGGAGAAACTATGGAAGTTCTTGAAGCGGTTGCAGCTACTGAAGAGTGTCCATCAGTATCTACGCTTTCTGACCAAAGTATTATGCAAGTGGTTAACTATGTGTTGGCCCAGCAGCAAGGACAGAAGCTGTCTGAAGTTGCAGAAGCCATCCAGACTGTTGAAGTAGAAGTGGCACATATGCCGGAAGCAGAGTGAGTACTGCAGCCACAAGAGACGACTGCCCATTGCGCTCACAGAGCACGTGTTTACAGTTTGTCACCACCCATGTAGACTTCGTATGTGAAGCTGCGCTGTTGGTGACATTACTAAACTGCTTGTCTGGCCAATGAGTTCTGTAGGAAAGTCACTTTCTGTAAAGTAATTGAAAACAATCTGTTGGATCGAAGTAGTTGATCATGGTATGCCTTTTATGAATTAATGTTTATAAATGTACAAAATTTAAAGATGTGCAGTTTCATTTATATTTGACATTATTTTATTACATATTTTGAATTTGAAAGGCTGCACAGTTGGCTTTCCTTCTGTTTTATTCTCAAAATACAGAGGTTCTGTGACTATTTGCTGTTTGTGGATTTAAATAATTCTAATATAAAGTATATCTGTAAGATGCATAAGTATATTACATTTTAAAAATGCTTTAGATCTATGATTCTTGACTTATTATTTATTTTGGCTGCTTCTAAGTCAGGGATCTAGTCTGTCTTGAAGCACTTAATGAGTTCTGTGTTGTAATCAAGTTTGTATAATTTATTTATCTGTATGGGGACCCACAAATGCAAAGCTAATTTTAAGAAACCATTAAAATGCATGAGATGTCTATTAAAGCCTTACTATACTATCTCTTCAAGGCAAGTAATTGGCCATGAGAAAAGAGTACTGTTATTAAACACTGTTGATGGGAAGTTTCTGCTTGATAACATTGGACTATAAATGGAAAAAATCAAAACTGATTCTTTTGCTGAAGAATGAACAAGTTAACGAAGAAGTTAAGTTTGGTATGTTTTAGCTTTTGTATCATGTTTGTTTAAATTTGTTAAACTACATCTATAGTGGTAATATGGATGCTATATAATTGTTAGATAATTTCAGAATGTTAAATTCAATGCAGCCCTCATTATACTGTGTTATATAAAAAAATTGATTATGGTACTATCCAATTGCTGAAAGCTACCTTAAATCTAAATTATATTCATTCATGTGTTTGATTTTTTTTTTAATTTCTCACCTGAGTTGTCAGATTCAGATTTTGAAAATAACTATGGAGATATACCACATTTCTCTCTAGAAACTATCGCTAAAGCTATAATTGTTAAAATTAAGCTTTTAGGTATTAGAAGCTTTGTTAAAGTATAAAATTAAGATATAAAGAGTATATGTAAATCATTCCTAAAGCACAAGAAATGAATGTGCCTTGATGTACATATAGAATATTAAGATGCCTATTCCAATTCACTTTCAAAATGGCTTTAAGGTTAAGGAGTAAATGTGATAGCCCTGCATGCATTTTCTTGCATATGTAATGTGTGCATTTGCAAATTTGTTGTTGTTTTAATAGCTGTGTGGCTTTCTGTTTTAAAAGTGAATCTATATACAGCCCACAACTTCATATAGGCTATTCACTGGTCATGTCCAGCAGTTAATGAAAAAGTATTTCCATGTAATTAACATTTGAAATTGTCTTTTATGTTCCATTTTCACCATTGTTAGATTTAGTTAAATGTGTAAGATCATAAATGTATGTCAGAAATATGTAAATAAAAGATGTTCAGTCTTATTAAAAGCAAAATTTTGGAGCTGACCTTGACATCATTTTCAATCTATACCAGATAATATTATTTAACATGTTGTTATAAAGGGTGAGGAAATTATTTTGTGGGTATGCTCTATGTACAGGCACTTACCTATTTGTGCAAGTGTGGAAGCCAGGGGTCAACCTTATCTGGTGTCTTCCTTTATTGTTCTCTACTTATTTATTATAACTTTTACGTACACTTTTAAATGTGTGTGTGTGTGGCTGCATGTGTCTATATGTGTGTGGGCACACACATGCCAAGACGTGTGGAGATGTGAGGGAGTGGGTTCTTTTTCTCCCCATATGGGTCCCAAAATTTGAACTCAGTCATTATTAGTCTTTGTGGGAGATGCCTTTTCATAGAGTCATCTTGTTGGCCCTCCACCTTATTTCCTTTTTTTTTTTTGTTTTTGTTTTTGTTTTGTTTTCAAGACAGGGTTTCTCTGTGCTTTGGAGGCTGTCCTGGAGCTCGCTTGGTATTTCCTTTTTTTAATTTTTGGTTTTTTCGAGACAGAGTTTCTCTGTGGCTTTGGAGGCTGTACTGGAACTCGCTTGGTAGTCCAGGCTGGTCTCGAACTCACAGAGATCCGCCTGCCTCTGCCTCTAGAGGGCTGGGATTAAAGGCGTACGCCACCAATGCCCGGCGTCCTTTTTAAAATTTTTTTCATTTATGTATACAATGTTCTGCCTCTTTGTATGCCTTCATGATTAAACAGGACAGCAGATCTCATTATAGATGGCTATGAGCCACCATGTGGTTGCTGGGAATTGAACTCAGGACCTCTGGAAAAACAGGCAGTGAGTGCTCTTACCCTCTGAGCCATCTCTTCAGCCCTACCTTATTTTCTTGAAAGTGTGTCACAAAAAAAACCAACAAAATCCATCCTGGGTGATGGTGGTGCACGCCTTTAATCCCAGCACTGGGGGGGCAGAGGCAGGTGCAGCTCAGTGAATTCAGTGAATTTGAAGCCAGCCTGGTCTACAAAGCAAGTTCAAGGACAGCCAGGCCTGTTATACAGAGAAACCCTGTCTCGAAATACCCAAAAAACAAACAGCTAGTGCTTCTAATCACTGAGCCGTCTCTACAATCCTACTTGTTTTTACTTTTAATCTATTTATTTATTTATTTGGTGGGAGTTGGTTTGAGACAGGGTTTCTCTGTGTAACTCTGGAGTCTGTCCTGGCTCTCACACTGTAGACCAGGCTGGCTGAGAACTTAAGAGGTCTACGTGCCTCTGTCTCTCGAGTGCTGGAATTAATGGCTTGAGCTTCCACCCCCACCCCACTTGTTTCTAAACGCTCTATACATGTGTCCTGCTCATAATTTTGCGAAACCTTGGAATTTCTTAATAGGTCTTCTATTTTACATATAAAGTTAGTCCTGTGTGGTAGAATATTATTTTCAAGTGTGTGACTTTTTTTTTATGCTGCATTTGTTTAACTCTGTGAATCTGGGATTCTTTGCCTGTCTAAAACACCTGATGGTCCTAATCAAGAGCTGAATGGCCAATATCAGAGGGGCTAGCAGGTGGAGAGTATAAAAATAGGAGAAAATGTAAGAGAGGAGGACATCAGGAGCCAACCACCCAGTCAGCCATGGAGTAAGAAGGAAAATAAGATATACAGAAGTAAGGAAGGGAAAAGCCCAGAGGGAAAAGGTAGACAGGTAGATTTGAGATAAAAAGCAGTCAACATTCCTAAGTAATAAGCCTCCCTATGTGAGTTATTTGGGAGCTGGGTGGTGAGCCTGCCAAAAAGAGTAAAACTTGACACTATAGCCCTCAACTCTGCTGAAAAATAGATTAACAAATTTATGAAATTTGTGAAAGTACTTAAATAATTATAGCGTACCATGTTTTTGGTTTTTTTGTTTGTTTGGTTTTTTGAGACAGGGTTTCTCTGTATTGTTTTGGAGGCTGTCCTGGAACTCGCTCTATAGACCAGGCTGGCTTCTAACTCAGAGATTGCCTGCCTCTGCCTCCTGAGTGCTGGCCATGTTAAGGATTTATTTATTATATATACAATATTCTGCCTGCATGTATCCCTGCAGGCCTGAAGAGGGCACTAGACTTCAATACAGATGGTTGTGAGGCACCATTTGGTTGCTGGGAATTGAACTCAGGACCTCTAGAACAGGCAGTCAGTCTCTTAACCTCTGAGCCATCTCTCCAGCCCACATACCATGTTTTTGTATGTGTATTTTCTCAAGTTTTGGAGTTTGTTGCTCCTTTGGTTGGACCTTTCCCAAGGAGTATGAGCTCTTCTCCATCAGGGTCTGCTCTGTTTTCAATATTTACTGAATCTTGGTCTGGAAAGTAACACACTAAGTTGTAGCCTTGATGCTGAAGAAATGGTTCAGCTGTGAAAGAGCACTGCCTTCTCTGCAAATGACCAGGGTTCAGTTCCAAGCAACTATAAGCTACCTACAGCCATGTGTAACATCAGTTCCAGAGGATCTAATCTTCTAGAGGCTTCTGTGGCTATCAGGTACACAGACAGATATAGATGCAAAACACCCATACATGAGAAGAAAATGAAAATAAAAAGTAGTAGCCTTTGGAAGGGTGATCATTGGGTTGTGAAGGCTCCACCTCCAAGAAGTGAGTTAGTGATGTAACAGGTCTGGGTGTTTTGGGCTCTTTTTACCTTCAGCCAAGTAATGCAACAGGTGCCATCTCAACGCAGAGGCCAAAGTTCCTAGATCTTGTACTTGTGCCTCCAGGTCTGGGAGAAACCTTCGGGTACCTGTTAACCGATGTCCAGGATTGGTCTTTCCTGGTGAGTTTGCTAGTTTCTGCTAGATTGCTCAAGGGAGTATTTCAGTAACTCTACAGTATGTGACCTCCCTAGTGAGCAACTGCAATCTGAAATCCTCGGAAATGTGAGGACAGGTCCACTGTCATTTTAATGCTGGTGAATGTTTAGCTGGTTTACACTTTTGAGTGTCAATGAGTGCTACTCACTGGCTTCTGTGGGCCCAAATCATTTAACAATTTGATCTTAAAACCAATAATCTCAGCCAGGGGTGGTGGTGCACGCCTTTAGTCCCCTCACTGGGAGGCAGAGGCAGGGAGATCTTGTGATTTCAAGGCCAGTTTGATTGGACTTGCTGATTCCAAGAACTGTTTTGTTGTTTGGTTTTTGGAGACAGGGTTTCACTGTGAAGGCCTGGCTGTCCTGGAACTCACTGTGTAGTTCCTGACCTCCACCTCAGATCCACTTGCCTCTATTAAAAGTGCACCACTATTAACCCTGGCTTGTTTAAAATTTTTAATTTTGTGTGTGTATATGCCACAGCTATAGAGGTGCTCAGGCAAAGGCTTTTACTCAACTTACTCAGCTTGCTTTCCTTCCATCTCTGATCATTAGCAACACAGTCTTAGTTTTATGATAATTTCGATACCTGGTAGAGTAAGTCCTGCTTTTTTTGGGGGGGGGTGAGGTTGGAGACGTTATGTAACCCACCCTGGCTTACCTGGAACTCACAAAAATCTGCCTGCCTCTGTACTAGGATTAAAGGTGTGCACCACCAGGCCTAGCAAAATCGAATTTTTAATTTCCTGAACCTGCTAACATATCTCCATTTATCTGGACTATCTCTAATTCCTCTCAGAAGTTATTTTTACAAATAACGTGTTTCATGGATATTGTAAATAAAAAGTCTCTAGCTGGGCAATCATGGTGAATGCCTTTAATCCTAGCACTCAGGAAGCAGAGGCAGGTGGACCTCTTTGAGTTCAATTAGAGTTCCAGCTGGAACAGTTACACAGAGAAACCCTGGCTTGAAAAAGAAAAAACAAAAATAAAATTTCCAAAGTGGACATGATCTCTGAAACACAGAAAAGCAAAATTTTGAATGATAGCACATTAGTGTTAACCTAAGAAATGCGTATAGGGCAGGGCAATGCTACTGCACACCTTTAATCCCAGCACTCAGGAGGTAGAGGCAGGTGTGAGTTCAAGGCCAGCCAGGTCTACAGCTAAAGCTATACAGAGAAACCCTATCCCAAAAAACCCACAAAGGTCAGTGGTATCACCCAAAGCACACTAAGTGAATTTAATAAGAAAATATTGTGGGATTTGTTAGTAACTGGCCAACACTTTCCACTCACCTTCCTCTTGATAGGCTGAGGCAAATTTGAGCCTTGTCAGAAAAAAACTGAAAACAATAAAGATGAACATTTTTGTATGTTCCATTTAACAATCTAGAGAAGCCAGGCAGTGATGGCCTTTAATCCCTTGGCAGCACTTGGGAGGCAGAGACAGGTGGATCACTTGAGTGTTCAAGGCCAGTGTTGTCTACAGAGAGGAAAGCCTGTCTCGGAAAAGAAAAGAAAATCCAAAATCCAGGAGCTGGCAAGAACAGGAAAAGGTGCTGGCAGCTAAGCCTGATGACTTGAAACCCACAGGGTAGAAGAGCATTCCTGCAAGTTGTCCTCTGACCTGTGGCATGTATACAGTGGCACACGGACATCTGTGTTATTTTAATTGTGTTCTGCTAAAGTTTGCTTGGAATCGGAGGGCTGAGCTTAGCCACTAGCTGATAAAAATTAACCATAGAGGTTTGGAGGACTGTAGACAGATAGGAGACAGGAGGTAATAAGGTGGAGCTGAGAGGAGACCTCCGGCCTTTTTGGAGGAAGACTAGGAAGAGATAGGAAGTCACTGGTGGCTGCTCCCCTGCTACTCTGATCCTTCAAGTTCTTACCCCAGTATCTGACTGATTTTTTATTAATAAAGAATAATTAGTTAAGGCTGCAGGCACCCAAATGAGAGCATATGGAAAAGAGTAAATAGAGGCAACTCATGAATTGACTGGGAGTGGAACAGTATTGTAAATGGCACGTGGAGCTCTGCAGAACAGAGTAAGGTAGAGTAATAGACAATGCTAACATATTTATTCTGATGGGAACATGCATCCAAAGGTGTTTTCATTTCCCTGATCATGCCAGCATGCCATGCATACAAAATACTCTTAAAAAATGTTTTTCAAG